CCACCAAATCAGGCGGAGCTCAGATGGCCGCTGACTACACCAATGAAGTCACAGCAGACGACCACCGCAACCGGAGCTGCAGGAACCCAGCCGACTACATCTGTGAAGGCTATGGCATCTTCCTTCGGGGTCACGGAATCGGAGGATCGGTCTTCCCAAAAACCAGCCTGCAAGTTCTGGAAGAGCGAGGAAGGCTGCAAGCGTGGCACCAATTGCACCTATGCCCATGACAATGCGGACATGAAGGGTCGCTGCTTTAACTGTGGTGGACTACTCATGAAGAAGGATTGTCCGAATGGGGCGAAGGTAGTGAAGCCAGATGGGAAGAAGGTGGCGAAGGTGAAGACCGCGAAGGACTCCGACAAGCCAGAGACGGGGGAGAAGCCTGTACTAGAGACGGGGTCGGACAAGCCGCAGGGCCGGGATGCCACGGCTGAACTGTTGACGGAGGCTACATCGCTTCTGAAGGCATTGCGGAGCATGAAGATGCTGCGATTGAAGGAGCTGAAGCCACAATGCTCAGATGGTTGTGAACCAGTGGCTCTCTTGGACGGTGGTGCAACAAATGGGCTACGCCGAGCCCGTCCTCATGAGATGACAAGATTGGTCCCTGTCACCGTGGAATTGGCATCGGGATCGACAACCTTGTTCCGTGTCAAGGAGCACAACACTTTGCTGACCAGGGACAACGTGGAAGTGATAGTTCCCTTGCACCGACTGGTGAAGTTGGGCTGCAGGTTGCAGTGGACCTCGGCTGGCGTGAAGATCACCCATCCTCAAAGTGGAAAGATTGAGTGCAGATTGCGAGGCGGTTGCCCTGTACTTCCTGAGAAGCAGGCCCTTGCTTTGCTGGACATCATGGAGAAGGAGGACAAGGGGGAGCTGATGCTGGATGAGGAGGTTCGCAAATGGTGGTCATCAAGATTTCCAGAGGTTCCTCAGGAGGTGTGGAACTACATGCAGGGTCAGGACCACTACAACCCTGAACATCCAAAACCTGACGATGATCAGGTACAAAGACTGAATGGAGCCTGGGAGGACTACATCAAAAGTTTGGGAGAACCGGTGGGGGTGCAGAACATCACAAGGCTATGGGGGTCCACATGCTCCGGGTACACACGACAGATAGAGAGTGTGCTTTTTTGTCGAGATCCTTTCAGTCCTTCTGCCGACGATTTGGACTATATCAAACTATGACGGGTGGAGATGAAGGACCATCCAATGGGCGGATTGAGTGTGAGGTGAACCAGGTGAAGCGACGCCTTCGTCTTCTCATTAAGGAGAGTGGCCTGGAACAGAAATGGTGGCCGGGGATTGCTCGCTACGTGGGTGAGGAACGACTTCGACGCCAATGCTCTCATCTTGGTGTCCCATCCACAGCACTCTTGCCGATTGGGGGGAGAGTCACAGTGAAAACTAAGAGATGGCACAGAGCAGGCTTTGGCCCTTTGACGGCACCTTTTCGAACTATGACCATCGTGGGCCCATCTCCCTTCATGTCACAAGGATATGTATTGATGGAAGGTGAACAGGTCCAACATGCCAGGGTGGTGGTCCAACAAGATCCAGGAGCTGAACGAGCAGTTCTAGAACTTCAAATGGTCCCAGAGCCTGAGAAGCCGCTGCACAGGTTGACGGGGAAACAACCAATGGAACCAATGCTTCCCCAACTTCCACCTCCAAGGTCATCGCCTGATCCTGGACTTCATCGACTACATGCCACTTGTGGGGGAGAACCAGTCCAGGTCTGGACTGGGGGGGAGTCCCTCTCTTCTGGAGGAGGGTGGATCGATGAAGAAGTTGGAATGCTGTGACTTCTGTGAAACTCCCTTGGAGCAGCCTGAGGAGAGGGCTATGAATGGCACCGTGGAGTGTGGGGTTGATGAAGCCTATAACCTGACGAAGTGGATGCACGAGGAACATTGGGGCTGGAAGCAGCTATGGAGTGACCTATTGAAAGATGTGGTGGTGGGCGAAGAGGATGGACAACTACGAGGAGCGCTGATGGACTACTTGGAGAAGAATGTCCTGGCCCTGGAAAATGAACTGACGGAGATCAGGGACTTTGACATGGGCTATCAAATGGCTAAGATGGCTGAAGGGGTGGTTGGAGAACATCCCGATGGTGAGCAGCAGTCTCCCCTGAACGTCCATGCAGTCCTCCAGACATACACTGTTCCTCTGGCGCAGGTGAGGAAGGAGCTGAAGGATTGGATTCCGTCATTGGAATATGAGGTGAACTCCTTGGAACGCACCACGAAGGCGGTTCGACCGGTGTCAGTCCGAGATCTTTGTCATGAGCCGGGCTATGAGGAGATGCTGGTTGTGCCATCGAAATTGGTTCCAACGGTCAAGGCACCGGATGGAAAGAAAAGCTCAAGAATAGTTCTCTGCGGAAATTTGGTGGAGGACACTGCACGACGAGCTGGACAATCTCAGTCTGTGAAGGAGGACAAGCAGGTGACTTCCTCTGCAGGAAAATCATTTGAGCTGTATGCCAGCGGGATCGATGGAGGATCGTTGAGGTGCGCTTTGAGAAAGGCAGCCTATGAACAGTGGTCGATAGGGATCACTGATGTCTCCTCAGCTTTCTTGCTGGCACCTCGGAAGTCACACCGACTCATGGTCACCAAGCCCCCGGCTATTTTGATCGAAGCTGGATTGATTTCTGCTGACACCCGATGGGTAGTTGAGGCGGCGGTATATGGTTTGGACAGTTCTCCGTCGGACTGGCAGGCATACAGGGATGATGTTCTCCGCAGTCTACGGTGGTGGGAGTCAGGTGTGCACTACTGGCTCAATGCAACGCCAGAACCAAACGTGTGGAGATTGATGACTGCGTCTGGTGCAGAAGGGGACTACGTGAATGTCATGGAGGAGGGTGAAACATCGGGGCTTGCTCTATCCTACGTGGACGATTTCATCATCATGGGCCCCCGACCAGTGGCGCAGGCTTTTTTGACGAAGCTGGCCTCGACCTGGAGATGCTCTACACCAACGTGGGTGGTCTCGTCGGAGTGGAGGAAGTTTTGTGGAGTAGAAATGAAATGGGGCAAACCTCATGATTGGCCAGCCGGACTATGCTCGAGAACTCGTGACCCGGCATCCTGACCTTCCATTGAGGTGCTCGCCGCTTCCCAAGGCAATTGAGCTCGAGCCGGAGGAAGACATTTTTCGAAATCGACATGTCAGTCAGCAGAACTGAACATAAACGACTACACTTGGAATTTGGCTCAAGAAACACGTGCGGCAGCTTTTTTAGCTTTTGATGTCGCATGCTCAGATTTAATCAATTATTTGAGGTTTCTGAGGCGCGTCCACCCCGTCATTTAACTTGCTAAAGCAAGAGCAACTTCAGCTAGCTAAGGCTAGCTTTCATGAACAGAACAGAACAGAACAGACAAAGAGAGAGAGAGAGAGAGAGACACAGACGAGCATATATCGGTATACTTGATACTTGTATAAATACGTATGGATCGCTCCGTGCTGCCGCGACTGTGATCCAAACTTTATGGATCCAAGCTCTGATCTAAGCCCTATGGATCAAACAATTGATCACCTGATCCAACCCACTTGACACGATTGACCTTGACAAGCCCCCATGACATTCTTATGCATTTCCTCGCTGTCTCTTCCACCCAACTTGTCCTCTTCTTTGCAGTTGCTTCCACATCCAAGTTAATGGTTTCCGCTGAACAGCTTTCCTCTTCTTCACAGTTGCCCCCCCAGACGTCCAAGTTTATGGCTTCCGCTAAACGGTGTTCCTCTTATTGACCCTTTCTTCCACATTCAAGCTAATGGTTACCGCTAAACTGCTTGCCTCCACGTTTACAGTCAGACTGAAGTTTCTGGCCTCCATTGTCTTCATTTCGGGCATTGGCAAGTCAAGCCCCACAAAAAGAAATTACTTGGCGCCACTACGTTCACCCTGGGCGGTGAGAGGTTGTGCGGGGGCAGCCTTGCAGACTGAAATTTCTGGCCTCCACTTCATATTGGGTATTGGCGGGTGCAGCCCACAAAAAGGTTCACTCTGGGAGGTGAGAGGTTGTGTGGGGGGGGGAACCTTGCCGCAACGGGCCCCTTCCAGCAAGCAGCACTAAAGAAATCTGTTGACCCCCTTTTGAATCAGAACCATTTGAACAGTTGGAGACCATTGATTGCTATTAGGTTGGAGGCCATTGCTATTAGGTTGGAGGCCATCGCCAGTAACGGTTGGAGGCCAGTTTGATCCAAAGGTGTGGATCAACTGAGTGATGTTGATCCACGTCCTTTGGATCAGGGTATGGATCGGGTGTCGATTTTGGTACTTGATCCATGCCTTAAGCTTCTGGCCGTAATTGTATAATGTACATTATTATACATGTATCAATCAACATGCCCACATCTCCCACTAGTACCTGGTTGAAGTTCTGTCACTTTCCTCAGGAGCATGTTTCCAACAACCTTCTATAGCAAGTTCTGGCTTGCGGGATGTCAATGCGGGCTGGCGTACAGTTGTCATCTAGGTAGTCTTACCCGCAAAGTCTAAAGTCATGTTCGTAGATTCGTAGCCCTTGAATTTGCACCACAATCGATGAAGGGAACCACTGCGAAGGCAATCGCTCAGCCCCCCAAACCGCGGCACTGCAACCAGGCATAGGACATCAACAAAGAGTAGAGAGCAAGAGTGGTGAGAACTGGGTACAAGCACCGCGCTGCATAGTAAAATGCCGGTGATGCAACGATACTTTTTGGACAATCTCTTACAGTAAATAAATCTGGTAGCGTTGATACGAGGCTAGTGGCTAGTGCAAGCTTGAATGAGCGACATAGACCTGGTCGGCATGTTGAATGAGGAAGACTTGTAGGATATATACATCTCGATGTTGACAGCGAGTGATGTGAAACAAGCCTTCTTCGGCAAATATAATTTAGCTTGGCTTGAAAATCTTGAACTCCAGACTCCAGCTACACTACTAATCAATGATTGCACTTGAGCTTTCAGAAATGGATTTCCATGCCTGAGGAAGCTCGAGAGGGCACGGCATTGGTACTGCAGATCTCTTCTTGGACCGCTCAGCCTGACATCTCAAAACAGTGAGCAGAAATGGAATGTGCCTGTCTTAGGACTCAGTACCTCTAGTCATGCAGCATGCACATATCTCCAGGTCTGGAATAGCAGAACAGCACGAGAAGCTCTTTGCTTGCGGTTCCATTTGCCTTGCGCTGACACAGAAGACGGGACCATGGCCTGGTATTCTGAATGTGGCTTGATGGCCCCAGGCGGAAGCATGATCCTTGGACCCTGTGGCACCAGGGGCGCCTGGAGTACATGAAAGCATCCAATGCTTCACGCATTCCTCTTTGGTATGTCTGCAATAAATGAGACATCTGTTTGGATAACTTGAGCACCCATCAAGCTCCTCACCATATAGATATTTAATATATAGAATATAATATCAAAATAACATGAAGCAATTGCAAAGGCTCTTTCACTCAATAGGAACTGGTAACTGGACCCTTACCTGCCTTGGTCCGTACAACGGCCTTGGGCGCACGTACTTCCGCTTGGGGCACCTTTGGCGCCTATTCACGACCACAACGTCCCTTTGTACCACTTTCCGTGGCTTGGGTGATTCATTGTGCCAATATTGTGAATCTCTCTTGATGTCTCCACATCTGTCCTCTTCTTCTCATTCCCCTCTCTGTTAGTAGATCATGTTTGGTAAATCAGGGTAAATCCATCCTGAGCAAAAATCCTCGAAGCCTGCGTTTCTATTGTTGCAGTACTCAGTACTCTTATCAAGCAGCTTGCAAACAAAGCAAAATTATTTGCTCCGGCACCTCGACGCAGTTTGCCGGGGTGGAGCCTTGACTGTCCGCACGAAGACTGCAGACATTGCTAGATTGTCCAAACTGAATGAAAGTCCAAAAAAGACCTTCAAGACTGGGGTGCATGGACGGTCATCCAAAGTCTGGCTGTTTTTGTGCTTGGTAGGCACCGCGCCTGTGCCTAATGCAGCCACTGGAGAGGAAAGCGGGGAAGGTGCAATCAAACGCAGTCGTTCAGCCTCGCAGATTGCTGTGAAGCTTGTAGTTTTTAACTTTGTGTTTTTACTTCTTTGGACATTGCTGGCCTCCATTCTAAACAGGATGCATGTGCCGGAGTTTGGGATATCTTTACTGTGTCAAAGTGCCCAAAGGCCCTGACACGGGAATTTACTGAATCATCTGGAAGCCTGGGTGTGCCAACGGTGCGAAAGGCGGCTATACACATTTGAACAACACGTCAGCATTGTGAATCGCGTCATGGTGTATGTATAGTTTGATCTTGCCTGGATGAGAAAAATTGTGACGACCGTTTATCTGTTTCAGCTTGGAGGCTGTCGTTTAAAACCTTGGACTCTGACGGTACATGGCTTCTTTGCTGTCCGCTTCCCAGAAGAGACGTCAAACTTGGATGGGCAAAGGACTGATGTCGAAAAGCTGAAGGACAAGCAACAAACTCGCTTTTGACCAAAGCGGGGCTCCTATGGGGTGTTTCATTCTTCAGGCAACTTGAAACATCAAACGCTGGTGATGCCTCCTGGCTCAACTGCAGGACTGTACCCGGGCGGGAAAGCTATAGAACCGAAGATCCAAGGACCATGATGAACTTCACCAAACTGGAAGTACCGAAAGTGCTCCAATGTGGCATTGATCTTGACTTGTGCGTCTGTAATGGGAAGCAGTGCACGCTGCTCTCGCCAAGCTTAAGTGTCCTTCAAAATCTAGGAACCAAACGAATAGTGCGAGCGCTTCTTCAAGGAAGCTCCCCCCCGCCGCCTTTACGGCACCAGGGCGAGGTTCCTTGAAGAAGCCTGATAGTGCTGCTAGTAGCTACCTAGCTTCTACTAGCTACCTCTAGCTACTACCTCCCTCTTAGCAGCCTAACCCCCAAAAAGAAAAGAAACACATGTTTCTCGTGTGTTCATTGCAAAATTTGATGAACAATAGAACAATGGACTCTCTACGTCACTGTCTTTTCGCAAGTGAGAATGGGGCTTTTTTGAATTGCACAAGCATCTGTAGCAGACAGAGAAATGACAAGGTGAGCAAATTTAAAATGAGCTGACGTGAGATGAGCTTCAAGCGAAATCGAAGGAGTTCCATGGAGTTCTGTTCAAAAATCATCAAACATTTAAAGGAGGAGACAGCATAAATGATCAATTGTTTTGAGGCTGTAAATCTAATTCAATGCGTTGAATGCCCTCAAGCCGCCATCGTTCTTTGCAACTGAAAAGTTCGGTTTCATGTCCGTGATACCCGCTGCAGCCAAGGGGCAGCTCCACATACTGCACAGTAAAGGCAATCTTAGAAACAAGGATGCGAGAATGTGGATCCTAGTAACAAGAAGCTACTAGTAGCAAAGGGCATCACTCACTACTAGGAGCGAGGACGCTACTAGTTGCTCCTGGCCTTACTACTAGGAACAAAAAGCTACTAGTAACTGTGAATGTGACACTCAGTTGACCCTGCCGGCCGCCGCTTTAGGCACAAGAGTTCGCTGTCTTGTGAAAAGGCGTGTCGCCTTTGCTTGTTTACATTGGTAGCGTTGAGCCATTACTCCTTTCGCCGTGCGTGGGGGACTTCTAGGGCTGTTAGAGGTGGTTGAGGTCACGGTGAGTGTGGCAGGGGTCGCTACGGTGAGGGCATGCCTACGACCGATGAGGATGGCAGCGTTCAGGAGGCCGACCTGGATGTTGAAGGAGCCCTTCCAGCTGGTCCTGAGGAGATGAGGCCGGGGACACCAACGGAGAGGTCTTGGGGTGGCTGGAGTGAGCAGGAGTGGAAAAGGTGGAATGCTTACTACGCTTGGTCCGCGCCTTCGGGAGATCCCGGGGTTGGATCTGGAGATGGTGCAGGAGCAGCATCTTCGTTGGGACCTACTGCATCGGCGGCGCCTACGGCACCTCAGGGGATTGGTCATGATCCTTGGTGGGGGAACCAAAGAGATCCATGGCAAGGACACGAAGACCGTCGAAGTGGAGCTGGAGGACAAGACAAGATCCAGGTTCCTGAGTACAATGGCGAAGATGACAGGGATGGTCTGAAGGCTAAGGGCTACATCCGAAAGATCGAGGCCTGGAGGAGGGTGACCCGGTTGACATGCACCAAACAGGCCCTGATGCTCTACAACAACCTCACAGGTCGAGCTTGGCGTGATGCAGTAGAGCTTGAGCTTGGACTGCTCGACTCCGAACAAGGGGTCGAGGTGTTTGTCGATTGGATAAAGTCCCGCTATATGGACCGCGAGGTGACGAAGATCGGCCGCTACATGTCTGACTTCTTCAAATCCCTCAAGCGGAACACACACCAGGACATTCGGGACTTCAACCAGGAGTTTGACCGACAGGCTGGCAGGTTGAAAGAAGTTGGATGTGCACTGCCGGACGCCTGTCTGGCCTGGTGGTATGTCGACAAGATGCGCATGGACAATGCCTCGGAGCTGAACCTCTTGTCATCCGTGGGAAACTCCTACACCCTCAGCAAGCTTCAGGACGCTGCGATCATCCAGGATCGTATGAACCGGAGGATGTGGGAGAGGAGGCCAGATGGGGACAGACGCTCCGAGGATAGGAGGAATGATGACAAAAGGAAACACCAAGCTCTGATGACCACCATCGATGAAGACCACGAGGAGGACCACGACTCTGAGGACACCCTGACGGACGATGAGGACGTGGACATCTTCGAGGGAGATGAAGCGACCCAGGAGGCCTATGTAGCCTTCCAGAACGCCAAGAGCAAATATCGTGCCATCATGAAGGACCGAGGTTTCTCTCAGTCCAAAGAAGAGCGCCTCAAATCAGCCAAGGCACGAAGCTATTGCTCGGTTTGTCACAAGAAGGGTCACTGGCACAAGGACCCGGAATGTCCGGCAAACAAAGGAAAATCCGGACAGACCGCACATACCAACCATGTGGTCTACATGACCGCCTTGAATGATGACAGCGACTACTTGGTTGACCTCTTCGACGGCAAGGACATGGGTGGCGCCTATGTCATTGACTCCAACGAGGACAAGATTGACTTTGGGGCACACTACAACGTGAACTATGAGATGAACAAGCCCTTGGAGATGGGAGGGCTTGATCTTCGAACTTCCCATGTGGTCTACTTCACGGATGAAGAGAAGGGTGAGAAGGAGGGGTCAAGTTTCTTGGCCATCACCGACTGTGCGTGCAGCAGGACATTGGCTGGCAAAACATGGATGACCTCCTTCCTGCGCTACCTGAAGGCTGAACACATTCCCTTCTTCGTACTCCCTCAAGAGGAGGTCTTCAAGTTTGGAGGGGAGAGACTCTACCCCTCAAAGATGGCAATAGTGACGTGGCTCGCCATCAAGAACAAATGGTTCCTGGCCAAGATCAGCGTGGTCAGTGCCGACGTCCCTTTGCTCCTGAGCAGGGCGGCATTGGCTGAGCTAGGCATGAACTACAACATTGCCAAGGGCCTTGCAGACTTCGGCGCACTTGGCGTCAGCCAGGTTTCTTTGATTATGAGTTCCTCCGGCCACTCGCAAGTTTCTGTGACTGGCACCAAGCCGGCTCTGCTTCCGTGGCCGGAGCGAATTGACTGGAGTCTCACTGAGATCTTCGTACCTCAGTCGCAAGAGGTATACATGGTGAGCCCGCAGCCGGAGTCACAACTGTTTTATCCGAAGAAGTTGACGGAAGCTGTACATGATATGTTGATCGCAGAGCCGTTGCACCATGAAGCATTTTTGAATTGGTGGAGGTCAAAGGATTACTATAGGGACTTTTGGATCGAGACCCCGGAGTACATGTACCGCATCCACGTCACACCCCGAAGAACTTCCTTTGATCCCCGGACATGGACTACGTCGCACCAGACTTTTGAAAACCAAACTGCTGGAACAGTTAGAAGAAGATTGTGATTCCTTGCGCAACCAACGCACTACCTCTCAGTCATCTGTTTCAGTGGGGCGATGCTGCCCCCGGATCTTGGAGATTTCTATGGGTCGGACGGAGCCGTTTTCCCAGACGACTCAAGTTGCAGACATCGACAGGTGTCTTGCCCTCCGACCCCACCATTCCTTCGGATGTCCTCGACCCCGACCATCTCGCCATGGAAGATGAACAAGGCGGAGCTGGTGGACACCCTTGTCCAGATGGGCATCCCAGTTCGCAAGGAATGGACTGTGCCGGAACTCCGATCCATCATCTCCGAGCAGAAGGAGGATCCGCCTCACAACGAGCTCAAGGGACTCTCCATGTATGAAGCTCGACAAGTTGATCACCAAAGCCCGAGAGGCAGGCATCGAGATTCCGGCGAAGCCCACCCGCGGTCTGCTGATGCGGTTGATCCGGGACAGCGTACCAGCCACTCCGGAGGAGCTGGTACCGTTTGGCCGGTACAAGGGCTACCGCTTCTGCGAGGTGCCCTCAAGCTACTTGGATTGGGCGATCACGGAGACAACCACGGGAGACAACAGCTCACCGGACTGGCCAAGGAGAACAAGTCCAAGAAGGACGACGCCACCTCCGCAGGGCTACAAGGACCCGGAGTCCACCGCGGTGAATGCACCTCCACCTGCGGAGCTGCCTCCCAAGTCTGCCAGCCAAGGGGATCAAGCTCTCAAGACGGGATCCAGCACCCAAGACGAAGAGCAAGACAGTTCCGAACAAGAAGACACGGACATTGAGCTCCTCCTCCGACGAGGACTTCTCCATGATCGAGGATATCGACAGCTTCCAGAAGATCGAGGCCCTGGAGAAGACTGTCAACCAGGATCAGCTTGCCGTGTCAAGTCAAGAGCCTACCGGTCGGCAGTGAATGAGGCCATTAAGGCTAAGAGAGCACGGACCAACCGCGGGGAAAATATGAACTCAGGGGAGACTGAGGAAACTATGCAAGGGACATACAATGTGGGGGACACCGACAACGGCATCTTCAACCTATTTGGGAGAAAACAAAACTATGAGGTCTCGTCCGAGGACATTGGGGACTCGAATGAGACCGTGGATCTGGTGCCCAAGGTGAACCTCCACTACCCGGACGACTATGACCAGGTCCGCAAGTTGCCTAGCCACAAAATGAAGAGGGTTGCCAGAAAAAGGGTCCGCAGTTGGGCGAGACAAACATTGGGCTGCCTCATGACGACGCTCCTGGCCTTCTCTGCGACAGCGCTGGAGACGATCGGGCGAAACACCGATCCGGTGAGGTCATGGGCAGAACAAAACATACCTTGTGTTTTTTATACTTATAACTTAGTTATGAGTGGGACAACTAGAGTTATAACCTGGTTATAACCATGATAAGTTGCGTAAGTTCTACGAAAATGGCTTGGAACTTATCGTAGTTATATAGATACTTGCGCTAGTTATGTTAAAAATTTTGCATACTTATAAGTACAACGTAAGTATGACAAAAAACAATGTTCCACTTACTTTCTACTTAACCTACTTATGGGTATAGAGGTTTTGAGGGTTGTCCTGGCCGTTGGGCTTAAGCAAATATAGACTGTGGGAGCATTTTTGTGGGAGGCATGGAGACGCGCACACGGCGACCTGTGCAAGACTACACGCACGCAGCGCATATGCTCAGCGAGGGAGTCTGGGCGCAGCTGCAACCGACATCTTGTACACCTTGGACGCCGTGGGCGTGCTGGTCTCTGAGGTGTATAAGCTGGAAGCCTCTATCGGGCTCATTGGGCCTATGTAGAGCACTTACTGGGCGCAAGAAAACGGAGTGCCCGGAATTGTGGGAAAATTGTGGGAAATTGTGGGAAGACTTTGGGGAAGTAGATTGTGGGAAAGACCCTGCCAATTACCTTTAACAAGGGAAATTGTGGGAAGATTGAAAAACAATGAAATCATTTGTGGGAAAGGAAGACCGGGACGGGAAATATTGTTTTTTTGTCTTTTTTTTGGTGGTTTGGGGCTTCCGCGCCGCTCGTTTTTGTTGTTACAGTCATGTCTCCGACACCTCCGCAGAGCCGCAGAGATCTCTATATATATATATATATACACACGGCCCCAGACAGACTGCCGCGGCCAAGTCCAGCCGCGCGCCAACCAGTGCACACGAACATATATATATATATGTATATATAAATACAGATGTCTTAAATATGCGGCTGCATCTGGTTGAAATTTACCAAAACACAGAAAGAAGCAAAACCTTCAAAAACACAACATGTTCTACTTACCATCGCACTTGTCCTACTTATTCGGTAAGGTCCATAAGTAGGATAAGTTGACTTATGTTACTTATAAGTATAAGTAGCGTAACAGGACTTATAAGTAAAAAACACAAGGTATGGCCTACGTCTCTACGGGGAGGAGAAGGAGAACCGGTTGCCATCTTGGAACTTTTTTGTGGTCATGCCCAATTGACCCTTGAGTACGCCAAGTCCAAAATGAACGTCCTTGAGCCGCGGGACCTCCGCTTTGGTCATGATCTCTTTCAACCCGATCAACAAGAAAAGGTCCTAGAGGAGGTGGACTACTTCAAGCCCGAACTTGTTTGGATTGCACTACCTTGCACGGTATGGGGGCCATGGACGAACATCAACTACAAGGATAGACCACAACTGCTCCGTCGACTTCGAGCCAAACAGCGGAGACTGATTCGCTTCGCTGTCAAGGTGGCCCTCAAACAGATTGAACAAGGACGCCATGTCGGATTCGAGCACCCGAGGAACTCAGCCATGTGGAAGGATCCCTCGATAGCAGACCTCCTACAAGATCCTTTGTTCCACGAGGTGAAACTAGATATGTGCTGTTTCGATCTCAGAGCTGTCACCGATGGGGAGTTGCTCAGGAAGCCGACAACTGTCTACATCACGGACGAGGCCTATGCGCAGGGACTTGCCAGAACATGCACCTGTACCCATGGACACGGGGCCACAGCAGGACAAAACACCACACCAGCTGGGCAATATACCCCACAGTTCGCCAGAGCGGTCGTAAGAAGTCATGAGAAAAAGGAGACGAACCATTCTGGACGCGTTTGCGGTCGAGAGTCATCTTCTACCTGGCCGAGCAGGAGATGGGCCGCTGGCGGGGCCTAGTGAGGACCTATCGATAGTCAAGATTGACGAGAGCGCCTCAGCCATCTCATTTCCAAGCCATGTGCCAAAAGGAACTGCAAGTGCCCTCAGACGAGTTCATCAGAACATGGGACATCTATCGAATGAAGATCTAGCACGACACCTACGTCTTGCAGGAGCTGATGCACAGGTGGTGAAGGCTTGCCAACAATTACGGTGCCAGACTTGCTGCCGATCCTCCAATTCAGGAAGCCGGAGGCCAGCCAAGGTGGTGAAACCACTCGACTTCAACGAGGAGGTTGCCGTTGACACCATGCACCTGTACACATGTAAAGGCACCAAAGTCACGGTCCTATCTATGCTAGATGTGGGATCAGGATTTCACCTGGTGTACCCCGTGACAGGGAGAAAAGGGGGAGACTATGTGGGATGTTTCCTACACGCATGGATGGCATGGGCGGGCACACCTACGACCGTTCTAGCTGATCAGGAAGCGGGACTCACGAGAGACTTCCCAGCCGAGCTAGAGAAACATGGAATCAATGTCCAATACACAGCCGGGCAAGCACATTGGCAAAACGGTCATGTCGAACGACAGAACGAATGGTTCAGACAAATGTTTGATCGGGTGAAAGAGCACACTTCCATGCAGGAGCACGAAACAGAATGGGTTCTCGCTGCCGTAGGGGAAGCCAAGAACTACCTCAGGAGACGGCATGGCTACTCACCTGCTCAGTGGCTATTTGGCGTCACCCCTCGGCTCGGCATCGGTCTAGCTGAAGGAGACGATGATACTGCAGAGCGACAAGACCTCATCAACCCATCCGAGGACTGGCAGAGAAGAGCTAGCATAAGACAAGCAGCCCGTGAAGCTTACATCCAGCTACAAGCTTCTGAAAGTCTTCAACGAGCACTACATGGCCGTCCCCGGGTTTTGCGTGGTGATTTTCAACAAGGCCAATATGTCTACATCTACCGCACTTCGAAGATGGCCGGGGGAGTTGCTCGAAAGAGACAGAATATTGGAGAATGGATTGGACCTGGCATCGTGGTGGGCCAAGAAGGAAAGAACTTCTGGGTATCAAGAGGGGGTCGCTGCCTCCTATGTGCTCGTGAACACCTCAGGTTAGCCGAGTCCGAGGAACTGGGCGCTGCACTACAAGCCCGCGCGGTCAAGAAGGACCTAATGCAATTGATCGAAGGGATGGAAGTTGACGATCCTGAGGTCTTCGCGGACGCCACTGGAGATCCTGAACCTCATCAGTCTGAACATCCAGAGATGGACTATACCCCTACTGAACCCGACGACGGACCTCCTGGAGATGATGAAGGAGAAAGGACAAGAGCCAGTAAACGAGAGGCCGAACAGAAACTGGTACCAGTCAAGAGAATGAGACAAAAGGGGGATGTTCCGATGGTGCCCGCCAATGTCCCAGTTCCTGAAGACGACGAGCTTCTGTGCTATATGGCCTCAAGTGACAGGGTGCCACGGGCGCTGCAGAAGCAAGCAGACAAAGAGTTGAAGTGGAACCAGATACCTGAAGACGAAATCCCCTTGTACAAGGAGGCCGAGAAGAAACAATGGGGTGAACATCTCAAATATCAGGCCATTAAGATCCTCCCTGCCCACATTGCAGCAGAGGTTCGCAAGAGGGTTCCCAAAGAAAGGATACTAAGAGCACGGTTTGCCTACCGGGACAAGAACTGTGCCAAACGACGAGAAGATCCTTTAGTACCTGCGAAAGCCAAAGCTCGGCTATGTGTTGGGGGACATCGAGACCCTGATCTCAAAACCGGCCAACTCAACACCGAGGCACCTACAGCCACTAAGGTGTCAATTACATGTCTGGTTTTCCTCACCGTGCAACTGGGCTGGTCGTTGGCCGCAGGGGACATCGAGGCGGCATTCCTCAATGGAGTCGAAGCTCGACGGGACCTCTACTTCGAACCACCTTCAACGGGATTGGAGGGAGTCGAGGAAGGGTCACTCATCGAAATTGTCAAAGGGGTCTTTGGACTCTCAACTTCACCACGCCTATGGTGGGACAAACTCGCTGGAACATTGAAAGACATCAAGATTGAATACAAAGGAATGAGCCTGAACCTGGAACAACACTACTTGGACAGTTGCTTGTTCCTCCTGGTCAACGAAGAGAAGGAGATTCACGGGTTATTGGCTACCCATGTCGACGACATTCTCATTTCCGCCCAGTTGGACCTCCGGCGCAAGATGGAGGAGGCCCTGTCCGACGTCTTCCCTATCGACACATGGGATGATGCGAAAGATGGGCTAGAATATTGTGGGGTGTCTATCAAACAGTCAGCCGATGAAATTTCCTTGAGCCAGGAGCACTACGTCAACACCAGGTTGCAAACCGTGGACATCCCCAAGGGAGCTGACCTGAAAGGAAAAGCAGATGAAGTTGCAACACTGGGGCTTGCCTCTCAGACAAGGCCAGACATCCAAGCTGGGGTGTCAATGGCACAGAGAAAACAAAAGAGCCCGACCTATGAGGACATTCAGGACACCAACCAGGTGGTACACATGGCGCAACAAGCCAAGGATGAAAAGCTGACCTACACCAAGCTCGGGAACTTCTCCGACCTGATCCTCCTCGTCTACCACGACGCGGCCTGGGCTAACATCCCCGAGAATGCAGAGAACCTGGACGACGCGGTCCAAAAGGACACCGACATCTACTCCCAACTGGGGCATATCACTCTGATTGCCCATAAGAACATCCTCGAGGGCAAGACTGGTCAAGGGCTGGTGGCATGCTGGAAGTCCCATGCATGTCCCCGGGTTTGCCGAAGCACCTTTGCGGCTGAAACTATGGCGGCACTGGAGGGTTGGGAATCTGCCATTGCCTTCAGAGCTGTTCTTTTAGGGTGTTTTCCAGGAATGGGGCACAAGATTCCCATCGTCTCCCTTACCGACTGCAAGCCTTTTTATGATTCGGTCTACCGAATCGGAGGGCCAAGAGCACCACCAGAGAAGCGGTTGATGGTCGATCTTGCTGCCATTCGCCAGATCATTCAAGAAGAGGAGTCCACCTGGCAGCTCGAACAGAAGACCACCTTCCGCAAGGCCTTGCACTGGCTCCCCACTTCAGCACAGATGTCAGGCAATCTGACAAGGGTCATTCCAAAGACCAAGGAGTGGTGGGGTCAGTTGAAGGAACTAAAGCCGGCAGGTTCAATAGTATAGAAGACGAGTGTGAATGTGACACTCAGTTGACCCTGCCGGCCGCCGCTTTAGGCACAAGAGTTCACTGTCTTGTGAAAAGGCGTGTCGCCTTTGCTTGTTTACAATAACAAAGGGTTGTTTCAGCAACGCAACTGGAGCCAAACATCGACTTACTGTTTGATCTGAGGCCCAAACCGCTTGTCCATCCATGGCTGCTGATTGGCCCAGGGATCAGGTGCCCTAAATATCTAATGTCATGCACTGAGCCCATCACGCAGCGATGGACGAATCTCATCTTTTTCCAGACCCGGCATGCAACTACAAGACCCTTTGATGGCAAAACAAAACATGCACATGCGAAGCTTGATAATGACAAGTGCGCCAAAAGGCTCTGCTCCGTGGCCACTCTTTATTCGGAGCGCGACCCCGGGCGTGAACCACTGCCCAGCAGCCACTTCCTTGGCATTGCTGTTTTGTTCGCCGCAGCCAGGGGTTGGGTGTGCTAAACTCAAACATCAAGTTTTCAATCATACCCCACCCCAATTGACTTCAGGCAAACGATGCTAAACTACATGCTGTGCAAATGACAATGACAAGCGGACATCTGGTCGCGGCTCAAAACATAAAACCTGCAAACCAGTGATAGTACAGTCTTGCAGCACAAACAAGCCTGCTCACGTTAGGATATATACGGGAGTAACAAAAGCATCTCTGGTGTCCCCAGCTGCATTTTCCCATTCGACGCACAAGCCCGCGCAGCTAGCTAGACATTGGTCCACTACATTGGCCGACCCTGCAACCAGTTGTTCCAAAATGCGTGAGTTCGCTTCCATATCTCACTTGTGTCTGTCGGATACCGCTTAGAACACTACGAGTGCTAGTAATCTTCACTGTGGCAGCAACACAGTACACTTAAGCCCTGAGAATCATTGATTGATTAGGATCAATTGAAAATCAATTGGAGCAATTGATTTTTCTCTGATTGATTAGAATCAATTAGACAAATCAATCCGGGCAATTGAAAATTTAATTGATTTGAAAAGCAAAATTTTAATTGATTTTCAAATGTTGCCCTAATTGATTTTGTAATTGATTTTCTAATTGATTTAGCAATTGATTTTCGCATGCCAACTTTCATGGGTTCTGCAGAGTTTTGGCTCTAAGCATAAACTAGAAGGTGCAAGAATTGACCTTGACAACAAACCCTTGGAAAAGGGCAGCTTGGACCTTGGAAAAGGTACCCATGAGTGGCAGAGGTGGGGCAAGACACAAAGCAAAGCCCTATGTGGACACTGACCTGCTGTTCAGTGTTTTCTCTTCACATGAAGGGCTTGTGTCTAACCTTGGAGGCTATGAGCATGTAAGCCGCTCACAAGTGCCATGTCCAAGAGGCTTGGTGTACACAATGCCTCTGTGGTCAGCCCTGGTGAGGGTAGAGCCATCAGGGGAAGTGCACACCCAGCCCATGAGAACAGCCCTTCTTAGCTTGCTCTCTCAGAAACCAAGTTTGAACCAAACACCTCACACTGGTGAAGTCTGGGCAAATTTAAAAACAGAGAGAATTGGCTGCATTCTCACACATGTGAGAAAGTGCAAGAGGGGTGATGCCCAGTTGCAAGTTGCAGCAGCCAAGCTGAGCAGGGAAGAATTTGAGCAGTTCAAGAAACACTTGAACATGCTGGATCTGCCTGCAACACTGCCCCTGGCAAGGGTGCAAAGGCTGCTGCTTCCTTGGAAAAGGAACCTTCCTTGGAAAAGGAACCTTCCTTGGAAAAGGAAAATTGTTTGGAAAGTGAACCTCTTGCAAAGCCCTTGGGAAAGGGAAGCATGCCCTCTGCACAAAGCAGCATATGCTTGGAAAAGCATCCTGCTGAGGGCCTTGGGAAAGGCTGCAAAAGGAAGCTGAAAGAAGAGGAGAGTGACATATCACTCGACAAGCATGGTTTTCCCAAGATGCTTGGCAGCCCAGAGGCTGCAAAGGCTGCATCCTTGGAAAATGAACCCTTGGAAAAGGGACCTGCCAGTGCCTCCTCTGTGGCCAGGGCAAGGCCAGGCAGCAGGGTGGCCAAGGGTGCATCTGACCTCAAAGCAGCCCTAGGCTATACAGCTCCTTGCAAAAGGCCAGCTGGAAGACCCTTGAAAAAGGGTATTGAAACCAGCACAAGCAAAGCAGCCTTGGGAAAGGCAAGCAATGCAAAAGCCTTGGAGAAGGCTGCTGCAACACCCTTGGAAAAGGGTGAGAGGGCACCTTGGTGGAAGATTAAGAAGACCTGTGCCAAGAAGCCTGAAAGGTCATATCTCACAGGCACCACAGAGATTGGTTCAAAGTTAAAATTGATTGTTGAGGTTACACAGAAAAGATGCCCTGCCTATCTCCAAGTCATCGATGACATCAAGGCATCCTTGGAAAAGAATGCCTTGACAAAGGAGGAGGCATTGGAACTGAGAGAAGAGCTTTGCAGGCAGCATGGTTGCTGACAGTGTCCTTGGAAAAGGCAATGGGTGTCCTAGGAAAGGGCAATGGTTAGCCTTGGAAAAGGCAATGGGTGGCCTTGGAAAAAATGGCTAGCCTTGGAAAAGGCAATGGATAGCCTTGGAAAAGGCAATGGGTGGCCTTGGAAAAGACAATGGCTAGCCTTGGAAAAGGCTTTGTGCAAAGTGCATGTAGCCTACCTTGAACACCACAAAGTGGTTTGACTTGCAAAACTGCAGGTGAAAAAGGAAAAAGCTTACAAGGTTACAAGGTGCCCTCTGTAGTTTGGATGTTTTTTGTCTTGGGTAGGCTGTTCTAAGCGCACTCATTGTCTCAACCTCATGTTCATTTGGGTCTGCAGCTGTTTGCTCAAGCAGCTAGGGCTTAGCTACACACTTCCAGAATGCACAGCAGCACTCAGCAGCACAGCACACACACACATGCAAACTGCACACACACACATTTGCACAGGCAGGGCTAAGGCTTAGGTGGTGAACTGGATGCTGTAGGACACAGACTAGAAACAACAGAAACAACCCAGCCTAGCTAGCCTCTCTTGCATGGGCTGTGGCTTTAAGCCACAGTTTGCTTGGAAAAGCAGTGCTTGAACAAGCCAAAGCTTGGAAAAGCATTGCTTCACAGAAGCAAAGCCAAAGCTTGGGAAAGCATGGCTCATGGCCCCTGGGACGATGATTCCTGGGATGATGATTCCTGGGATGACCAGGGCTGGTGGAGGAACCAGCATGGTCGACCCTGGGGGGCTGGGTCCACCACTGCTGGAAGGAGAGAGGTCAGGCACAAAAAGCAGTGGTCCACCCTTGTGGAAGAGGACCCAGCAAGTGAGGAATGCTTGGAAAAGCATTTGGAAGCCTTGGAAAAGGCAAGGGACAAGTGTGCCAAAAAGCTGGCAGAGGTGAGGCAGCAAAAGGCAGAGCAGGAAGCCTTGGAAAAGGCCAAGGAGGAAGCAGAAGAGACCAGCACTTGGGAAAGTGCAAAGGGCAAAAAGAAACAAAGGTCTAAGAGCAACAAGGCTTCCCCTACCACTGAGTCTTCCAGTGGCAGCGCTTCTAGTTCCAATGCACCCTTGAGAAAGGAGGCAAGGAAGAGAAGCAAAAGCAGAAATGAAAGCCAACTGAGAGGCACTCCTGCATCCATTCCCCAGGAGAGCCTCCAAGCCTTGGAAAAGGCACCCAGCAAGGATGCAGATGAGGGCACATCTTCAAAAGCCTTGGAAAAGGCACCCAGCAAGGATGCAGAGGAGGCCACTTCTTCCAAGAAGATTGGCAAGATGGGCTACAGGGCTGTGCTGAGCCCCAGGCCTGGCAGCATGTCCCTCAAAAGCAAGGCAGAGAGTGAGGGCTTAGGCTTGGAAAAGCCTAAGGTTTTGGTTGATTGGCATGGCACCCTGGAGAAAGCAAATGGCTGGGTGCCAGAATACAATCTGTGGGCCTTGGGCAAGCTGCTTGAGAAAGCAGAGGTTTACCTCCTGAGCTGGGTTGGCAGTGAGTGGAGGAAGGACAAGGCCATGAAGGAAATGATGGCCTTGGAAAAGGCAGATGAGATCCAATACATTGGGACAACCTTTCACAAACTGAAGAAGAATGGCAAAGTGGATCATGCAGTCTACTGGGGGTGCTGTGCAGTCATCGATGATGACTGGGAGGTTTGTGAGGAAGCCAGGCAATCAAACCTCATGACCTTTGAGGTGCGGTCCAAGAAGCCATCCCACACCTTGGAAAAGGATCAGTTTAGGGACTTCAGAGAAGCTGTGCTTGTCTACACCCTTGGAAAAGGGCACTCACCAGCTTCAACAAAACCTTGGAAAAGGTTTGCAGGGTCCTTGGGAAAGGATTGAAGAGATCCTTGGAAAAGGAATGATGGCCTTGGAAAAGGCTCTGTGTTTCCTTGGAAAAGGAACAATTGCCCTTGGGAAAGGGCTGCAGCAGAAGAATTCGACTTGCATGCCTGCAGGTGCCCCCTAACATGGGGGGAGCCTGGACTTGAAGAGAAATGGAAAATAAATATAATAACTAATTATATACAAATAAATAAAAATGTGTATATAAATATATATTTTAATATACCCTTTTCTTAATATATATTTAATATACAATTATTGTTAAAATATCATATATATATATATTATATACATGTATTTTTGAAATGCAAGCTAACCAAGATAGTTTCTATAAGTGGCAGGGTTCAGGTTTAGATGGGATCAGGGTTGAATGACACAGGAATGAATCCCCAAATGACCTTGGAAAAGTGTTTGAGAAGGTCTCATTCAACTACAGGCATTGCCTTCACAGAGTGTTTCTACCAAATGAAGTCTGATGAAATCAAAAACTTAGAACCTGATGAAATCTGATGAAATCTGATGAAACCTGATGAAATCTGATGAAATCTGATGAAATCTGATGAAACCAATGTTTTCATCAGATTTCATCAGGTTTCATCAGATTTCATCAGGTTTCATCAGATTTCATCAGGTTCTAAGTTTTTGTATTTTTTGTATTCCTTTGCAGGCTTTTGGATCAAGTGTGCTGGATTGGATAGTGTGTACTGGTTAGGTTGGTATGGCCCCCATGAAAGTTATGAAGTGTGCCATGAAGGCCTTGGGAAAGGCCAAGGCCAAGGGATTGCTTAAGATCAGGTCAAAGGCCTTGGGAAAGGCAAAGCTGAACAAGACCAACTTGGAAAAGTTGGGCAAAATGACATTGGATGAGAAAGTTCAGCA